GTCAATGTGCCAAACCTTTGATGATCAGAGAATAATTCTTCCCACAATCAGAGTTTCTTGAAGCTCAGCTTGGTTCAAATAGCGGTCTCCTTCAAATCACAAGCTCCATTCCAACTGCAGAAAAACCACTGCAGCCGGAAGGCAGCAAGAACAGTCCAGAGACACCTTTCTAAAGTATCTACAAACAGAAGGGCTGTTGATACTGTTAGGGAATCTACTCTTCATTATGCTTTTCTTTCCAATATTCTGTCACCCAAGATGCCTATAGAAAGCTATCAAGCAAGGTATAAGAGCAATAGAACCATCTTAGGCATACATCCAAACAAACTGGAATTGAGAAACAAACTTAGAGCCTGGAGACACTATATAGCAGTCATGACGAATAACCCCAGACAGTTTATCAAGTATCTCCAATGGTGGAAGGGCTATAAGCCAGTTTTGTACTATGACTGGTATGTGGCAGAAAGTGGCCCCTAACCACAGCAGATATCCTGCACTCCATAGTCTCTGCAGAACCACCAGGATTTCTCTGTTCCTATAAATTATCACCCTTTTGTGTTTCCATTTCAGCAAGGAAATTATGTGCTTCACTCCCCCCACACCCAATCCTGTTTTCTTGAACATAAATCAACACATTTGCGGGAAATCTGGCTGCAAGATTTGAGGATTTGGCTGCTTCACCAGAGAAGACAGATGCATCTCTTTCCAGCCCTTGTCTGGGTGGTCCAACATTATCCCTGTGATCAGACTCCCTGGATAGAAAAGCTGGAGCTGTTCCTGGTGATAGCCAGTCCCTGAATTTTCACACAACAGTTGACAGAGAAGGGCAGAGTTCTTACTAAACCTCCCCTCCTCTTTACAAAGTTGGGCCAATTCAACACATTCTTCTATTTACCATCAAATAATCACAAAGTACTGCAGCCTAGGAGACAACAGTAATAAACTACTGCTTCCCACCCCACAGCATGACCACTGATAAAAAGATCTCACACAGAACCACCACAGAGTACACTGCACAGAAAGGCATGTGTTGTGTGTAAAAACAAAAATACTTAGCCAACTAGCAGCCACTTTTTCAGTAACTGCACAAAGCTGGAGTTTCTAAACACTTTTAGAATATCTCCACAACCCAGGAGTGCCAAAAACCCTGCACATACATGATACAGTGAGGTTTGCTCCTTGAATAGCAGACAGTCCCAATCTGTGACTGTACATTATTTTAGAAGCTCCATAAGGGAGGGAGGACTGCTCTTCAAGAAACTCAAATCTAAAGGATCCCTGGATTCATGGACATGTGATAACTAAGACTGTTCACACAGGAGCATTTTTTATCAAGGTGGTTCACAATCTATCTAGCCTCAATCTATTCTCAATCCTGATTGGACCAGCTTTCTAGGATTGCAGGCAAAAGGTTTCCAAGGCCCACAGTTGGGATGCTTCAACTGGAGATACCTGGAATAAAATAAAGGATCACAATAAAAACAAAGCAAGTGAATTTCTGTCCCTTCTGCCTATGTTGATACAAGATCTGTTCAGTGCATTATAATCCTGCAGCACTGTTCTCCTGGCTGATGATTCTAATATGTTCCATGGAAATAAAATGATCTGCAGTGTTCTGTTGACCGCCAAAGGGTGGGAAAATATACCACTGGAAGACGATACCAATCATAATACTTTCCTTAAATGGAAAAATGAAACTATAATTTGTGTTTTAATCAGAGTAAAGCTCAAGCAGTTCTGTCCTCCAAAATGCCAATAACACTAACATTAATGTATGGAGGATGAAAGTGCAGAGATGAATAATTCTGACTAGGTACTCCCATGCCCTTCCTTTTGAGCCAAACAAACATTTTTCACTCACTGAAAACCCAAAGCTGGAAAGGATCAAATATCACTTTCCAGAACAGAATGCCCACTTGGTCACAATTGTTTTATTTAGGAGTATTCATTTAAAAAACCAGGAAATGCAGCAAAGTGGTGGAATGAAAGGTAGCAGGAGAAACAAGCCTCTGAACATAAGAAAATAAAATCAACAATGTTTTCATTAGAATATCAACAATTCCAGGAAAATCAGAAGAGAAATACAGAGTTCCTTCCTCCTCAAAATGTTTATTTTTCTGTGTAGTTTTCAAAGAGTCACTTCCATAGTTACATATTTTTGTGGGAAGATCATGATCTATGGATCACAAACAATTATCAGAAACACATATATCACACTGGTGACATTTATTTCTATTTGTAACATAAATTATTTATACTACAGATTTTATTTATTTATTTATTTATTTATTTATTTATTTAGACTATTTGTATCCCATCCTTCCCACCTCCGGAGGGGAACTCTGGGTGGCTTCACAATAGGCATCCATTTAATGTCAGCAACAGTAATAAATGATAAACGGAATTAAAACAATGCATTGTCGAATTTCTACACTTTGAAAAACAAGCCCTAGAAACAGCAACAAAAAAGACCATTATATGATTCAGACATGTGGATAACACCTTCACCATTTGGAGCCAATTGAGAAGAACTAAACAGGTTCCTGGACCACCTTAACAGCATCCACCCAAACAACCAATTCTTTATGGAAAAAGAAAATGAAGGAAAACTGCCTTTTCTAGATATCCTAGTCACCCGCAAACCAGATCCACATTTGGGTCACACGGTTTACAGAAAACCTACACACATGGATAGATACCTACAAATAAAAAAAAGAAGAGCCATTAAAGCCCTGGCAGACTGTGCAAAAAGAATCTGTGAACCCCACATCCTCCAAGACGAACTGAATCACCTAAACTGGGCTTTACAGGCCAATGGATACTCCACCACAGACATCAGCTGCAAGACAGAGAACAAGCCAAGAGAGTCAAGAGAAAGATCCACCCAGAGGAAAAGTGTTCTTGCATACATCAAGGAAACCACTGACCACATAGGGAAGCTGATGAGGAAACACAACCTACAAACTATCTACAGACCCACTAAGAAAATCCAACAAATGCTACATTCAGCAAAGGACAAGAGGGATCCTCTCACCTCTGCAGGAGTCTACCGGATACCATGCAGCTGTGGACAAGTCTACAAAGGGACCACCAAATGCAGCCTTGCCCAATCACGAATCAAGGAACATGAAAGGCACTGCAGTTTTCTGGGCCCTATGGTTACATTCCAGAAGCCTTCTCTCCTAACATTTCACCCACATCTATGGCAGGCATCCTCAGAGGTTGAGGGGTCTGTTGGAAACAAGGCAAGTGGGGTTTATGTCTCTGTGGAATGTCCAGGGCGGGAGAAAGAACTCTTGTCTGTTGGAGGCAAGTGTGAATGTTGCAATTGGCTACCTTGATTAGCATTGAATGGCCTTGCAGCTTCAAAGCCTGGCTCTCACCTCTGCAGGAGTCTACCGTATACCATGCAGCTGTGGACAAGTCTACATAGTGTCCATCAAACGCAGCACTGCAAGACACGAATCAAGGAACATGAAAGACATTGCAGATTACTTCAACCAGAGAAGTCAGCCATAGCAGAGTACCTGATGAACCAACCTGGACATAGCATATTATTTGAGAACACAGAAATGCTGGACCATTCTAACAACCACCATGTCAGACTACACAGAGAAGCCATTGAAATCCACAAGCATGTGGACAATTTCAACAGAAAGGAAGAAGCCATGAAAATGAACAAAATCTGGCTACCAGTATTTTAAAAAAAACTCTAAAATTATAACAGTAAATAATGAACAAAACTCAAACACAGAGGAACTCCAGACAAGAAACAAACAGGAACAGCTAATCACCTCTCAACAAAGGATTCCCCGTAGGCAGGAACAAGCCACACCTAAAAACTGTCAGGCCATCAAATGCTAACCAAGGTGGCCAATTGAAACATTCACACCTACCTCCAACAGACAAAAGTTTTTCTCCCACCCTGGACTTTCTAAGATATATAAACCCAATTTTCCTAGTTTCCAACAGACCTCACAACCTCCAAGGATGCCTGCCACAGATGCAGGCGAAACGTCAGGAGAGAATGCTTCTAGAACATGGCCAATCCATACAGCCCAAAAAACCTACAACAACCCAGTAATTAAAACAGTTCGTTAATGCTTAAATTACTAAAACATTGTTTGAACCACGCAGGTTTGATATCATAGTTCAGGTCAATCCATTGTCATTCACACAAACTGGGTATCATTCTAAATTGCTGTTCGAAGGCTTCGTTCCATAACCAGGTTTTGAGTTTTATTCTAAATGACAAGACGGAGGAGGCCAATCTAATGTCACTGCGTAGAGAGTTCCACAGACAAGGGGCCACTACTGAGAAGGCCCTGTCTCTTGTCTCCACCAGTTGTGCTTGCGAAGATGGTGAGATCGAGAGCTGGGCCTCCCCCATTGATCTTAGACTTCGCATTGGTTCATAGCAGGAGATATGTTCAGACAGGTAAGCTGGGCCCGAACTGTTTTTACCTTTGTAAGCATTAATTACTAGCCAGTACAATACAGTATAGTACAGATGTACAGCATTAATGTTTCTCCTTTGAGAAAAAAGTGAACAGAGCAGCAAGAGAGGCTACTGTTGTTCTTAACATACATCATTCCTTCATCTTATCTCTGCACAGGTAGAAGAAATCCAAGGCCAATGGAGCAAATGACCTGCTGTTTTAGTCTCCTTTCTGTTCAAGCATGTGGAGTGATAAAAGTATTTGACCAGGTATCTGAATCCACTCCTTCCCTGATTAACTGTTTTTATTCTTTTCAGAAGCAATACCCTGCTCCCATCCTCAACATTTAAAACAAGAATATATCTCACTTCCAGGCCCCTCCACAAGTCCATGCAAACCAAACATGTGTAACATGGTTACTTGTTTCCATGATCTCAGAGCAACATACCCTTCAAATTGGTTTTCACTCATTCACAAGTTTCACCACATTATTTTGCAGTCATGTTCTCAGCTACCAAATCCTGTTTCAGTTCTAAGCAGAGAATACAACCGATTCTGTACCTGTTGTGTAAGGAGGTTTATATTACTGGGTGGACAGTATTGCCTTGTTGCCTGCTTCTCTGCCAATCTGTGCAATTCTGCTGCAATAACACCATGGCTGAATCGCTTGCATTCTTCCCCATCCTTAGTTACTCTGGCAAATGCACTTCGCTGTCTGCTTGGGCTGTGACTCCTTGTACCTGCTGAAGACAGCAAAAAAGTTTCCTTTGCAAAACAATTGCACCAGTCTACAGAGAATATGGCTTCTTTGCCTGAGGGGAGTAAAGATATGTAAATCAAAACTCAGACAAGGTGATTCCTATAAAATGCATTTAAACTTACCTGTAGCTGTGACTCTTCAAATGGTCAATTGTAGGTTTGCCATGTTTTCAACCCAATAAGTGGCAACCCTCTCTGTTGTGCAGCCAGCTCAAACTTAGCAGAACATGTGAAGCAGGCCTATATGAAGCTCACCTTGAGCCTCAAAATATGAAGATCACTCATGAAAATCTAGATCTTTTGTATGAGGTCCTCCTCTTGTAAAATGTGAGGCAGACCTTATATAAGCCTGTCTTGAATGCTATTTTCTCAATTGCCTGAAGTGTTGAAAGCAGAGGCTTTAACTGTGGTCAGCACTAGTTCTCCTTCCTTTCTGAGGCTAGAGAGCCTCAGTGCCTTTGGTGAATCCTGCTTTTCCACAGTGACCATCCTGATGTGCATCCAAATCAAGCAATTGTGGTTTTATTATTTGTATTGAGAAAAGGACAAAGATATCTTCTCTGATTCACAAGAGGAGATAGTTGGTCAAAGTATTCCAGCTGCTGGCAGGAATTCTGTAGCACAGCCTAGATGTTTAATAGAAAGAATCCAAGTCTCTGCTATAATCCAGGTTTATCAAAGTAAGAAATGGCCTAGGCACTGACCAAGAGCAATACTGTACTACAGGTAAAAAACATGGAGTCAAAGACTGAGAACAACACATTTGACTTGTGAGAACAGCCAGTGTTTTGCAACTTGAATGTAGGGAGGTCATGTTTAATAACAAGCTGAGAAAGGTTTGTCACAATAAGTAATTAGTAAAAGTTTAAGGCTAACTCTGAGATGAAGCTGATGCCCATTATCATGACTGATATAAAGGCAAAGGTATAGAAAAATGGATCCCTCATCTTCTTCATTGGATATTGCCCTGTGTGTAACTGTGCTTGCTGTCGGTGTTAGAACTAAACAGATCTTGTTCTGTAAAGTACTGGCAAGCATAGAGAATGAGACTGTCTAAAAAGTCAAAAGCAAAGAACAGGCCTTGCTTGCTCCCTTTCTTCTTTCTGCCTTTCTCCCTACGCCAATATGTGTCTGGGTAGGGATGCCTCATCAATATTTTGTGGGCTGGTTGTTGGATTGAATTGATTGCTATGCAGATTCGGGATGAAGTAAGACAATTGATGGTGAGTACTAACAAATAGCAGTATCCAGAGTTGTTGTTTAAAGACCTTAATATAATGGATGTCTTATCACTCCCACTAGACTGAAGGCTTGGAGATGTGTGGTTTTTAAAAGCCTTGACGGTGTTTATGCTTGCCAAGCGTGTGAGTTTCACTGAAAATCAATCAGTGAATGAAATATTGTCCCTACACGAAATGCATTTTTGAAGAATGGCCATGAGATCACAAGATTTCAAAAACCATCTCATAATGATAATCATTAGAAAGAAAAAACAAAGAATGTCACCAAATGAAACAAGGTATAATGAAGAACAAGAAATCACAAAGAGAAAGCAAAATTATAATAAATATGAAGAGGAAAAACACTAAGAAAAAGTATTTATGGATATTTCTGATCTAATGGCCTAGTGGAGACAGCAGATGAAAAGGAACTGTGAGCAAAAGATTCTTAGGTAAAATTCATTTGAAGAAAACAACCCAAAAGCTGATGTCCAAAAGAGGAATGTGCTAAGTTATCAACAGTGAGAAAGCAAATGAAGTTTTGGTGCTGCTGAGAGCTGTATGCACACTGCCTGATCATTTCAACAGGATGGTGACTTGCAGAACAAATAAAGAGTTATTCTAAGAAAAATGGTATTTGAATCATCCATTCACAGCAGGTTACTTTGTGTTGTTGCCATATAATTTGCCTGAAGTCATTTCACATGGGTAAAGTTTAATCATTTCTTCCTGGACTATTCAGGACGTCTGCCAAAAGTGTGTTACGTGCCGACAGGAGCAAGGTTGGAAAAAGAAAATGATATCTGAAAATTGCCAAAAATAAATTATAATTTTATTATTAATTTAGCAAACATGGAAACCAATTTCTGGATCTGATGGCTTATATTTAGTTTTGAAATAACTACCCTATAGAAAAACAAATAAGAATGCCCTTACCTATATGCTTGAATAGCCCTACTCTGACATTTGGCAGGATAGTCAAATATTCTGAACAAAGAGTAAAAGTATTAGTGCCAGTTAAGCAGCCAAATATCCTGCTGCCTTACCTGCTTTTGCTGAGGATGGCCGGGTCACTCTTTGGCTGTAGATCTGCATAGCACTCTGAAAGGAAGAGAAGGGACTGACAGTAAAACTGCCAGACTGACAACGGTGTAATCCTGCATCGTTGGAGGACAGTTGGGGCACATTTTTTGCTGTGCTAGACCAGCTGTCCATTGCAGTATTTTGGAAAGATGGGGAAGGAATCAGTCTAGAACCAGATGAAAGAGAGAAGTCTGAGAGATGATCAGGCAGCTGTGCATTATCAGAGGCAGCAGTATGAGAAGACAACGGGGAACTGATGCTTTGTGGGAGGATGGCATCAGGAACAGAGGAAGAAGCACTAAGGAGGCGGGGTTGTGGTGCATTCTCATCTTCTGGTGAAGAAGTAACCCCTATTTAAAAAAACCAAAGACATATGCAAGCTAATTGGGGCTTTTCATATTGCTAAATGACCACAAACATGATATACACAATAACATTGGAGTCTTTTTTTGTTTAGAGAAATGAACACTATAAACAAGAGGCATGAAATATAGCAAGACACAATAGTTTTCTACGGGATATATTCACCACTGAATATATCCACTGAATTCATCCTAATCCTGTTTAATTGCTCTGTTTTCATGATATCTCCTGTGCCATTATGTCTTTATCCACCTTATTGAACCATTTACCTTTTAATCAGTTCGCATGTTGGCCTCCCCCCTCCCCATCCAAAATTGGTCTGCTGTGACTTGATGCTTGTTTATTATTGTTATGCTGTTTTGTGCTATTTTAAATTGTAATTTGCTGTTGCTTTGCTTTTAACTGTATGTTGCCTAGGCTTGGCCCCATGTAAGCCGCCCCGAGTCCCCTTGGGGAGATGGAGGAGGGGTAGAAAAATAAAGTTCTCCATCTCCTTCTTCACTGACTCTGGCCTTCAAAAAAGGTTTTTCTAAAAGGAATGGATTTTTATTAAAAATTGGGTTCTGGGTTGTTGTAGGTTTTTTCGGGCTATATGGCCATGTTCTAGAGGCATTCTCTCATGAGGTTTCACCTGGATCTATGGCAAGCATCCTCAGAGGTAGCGAGGTCAGACCACACTACCTCTGAGGATGCTTGCCATAGATGCAGGCGAAACGTCAGGAGAGAATGCCTCTAGAACATGACCATATAGCCCGAAAAAACCTACAACAACCCAGTGATTCTGGCCATGAAAGCCTTCGACAATAAATTGGGTTCTGTTTTATTATATACTAGCTTGAGTACTCAAGGTTGCCTGGGTTGTTTGTTTTGGGGTTAGTTCCAGGTCCATCGTTGGTGGAGTTAAGAGTGCTCTTAGATTGCAGGTGAACTCTACATTCCCATACCTACAATTCCTATAACTCACGATGAATGCCCCCCCCCAAACCCTCCAGTATGTTCAGTCGCTGATCAATTCCTCTGTTTGCTGTCTGCCATAGAAAATAATAGGAAAGCGTTAAGGGAGAGGCAATGAGCAGGGTCATGCAAATTCCACACCAACGGAGAGAGTAAGAAACAATGGATGTCTGTGGTGGAGGAAAAACAGAAAATCTAAGATGGAATTGTCCCTGTATGAAAGCCTTCACTTGGATGGTGGACTCTATGGTGCTGGTGGAGGACATTGGCAGGGTTATTGGACATGTTCACGACACTCTCTATAACCTGCAATGTTATTGGAGGGAGGGCCATTGGTGTCTCCTGAGTGGTGGGAGCTATAGCTGCTTGTGGAGGCAGGAGCTTGTCTGTGTAAGTGGACACCCCAGCCATACACACACACATACGTATTTTCACTTTTATTATGTGTATAGATAGCATTATGTTCATTTTAGCTAGATTAGTTATTATACTTTATTGTTGGTATGAGTGCTTTTGAAAGCTTATTTTTAATGTTAATAAAGAGAATTGTCAATGGTTGGTTTGTGCACATAACTTATTATTTCCAAATATATATTATATATACTTAAGGATGTATATATGTTTTGCTTAGTTCTCCTCCTATGAACCATCAAGGGAGCTTAAGATCATCTGGGGAGGCCCTACTCGCGATCCCGCCTGCATTGCAGCCATGATAGGCGGGGACAAGAGACAGGGCCTTCTCAGTGGTGGCCCCCTGGCTATGGAACTCCCTCCAGAGGGATATTAGATTGTCCCCCCTCCCTCCTGACTTTCTGTAAAAAGTTAAAAACTTGGCTCTTTGAGCAAGCTTTTGAGATTGCAGCGAAATAGATAACATGACACTATGAATAATGAACATGGAATGGCCAGACAATGTGATTGGAAGATGTTTTAACAGGATGACACCCATGATTATATGTTTTAATGATTTTTATATATGTTTTATATTGTTATGTTGATTGTTTTAACTGCACTTTATGACTGCATGGCATCGAATCGTGCCACCCTGTAACCTACCTTGAGTCGCCATATGGTTGAGAAAGGCGGGCTATAAATATCGCAAATAAATAAATAGCTACCTTTACTCTACACTGTAATTTTGGAAGTTCCATTAAAATGTTATTCAGAAACCAAATATACATAACATAGACTACAGTTCTTTAATAACTTACACACTCAAATTTAATTCTTAGAATTGTAACCACTGAAGAACTTTTCTGTCTCTTCTACAATACTGTAGTGATGAGAGCATTGGAAATTCTACAGGATAGACCATATATTCTTTCTATTGTTCATGGAAATATGCGATATGAAAGTTAATTATTTGAAATTATTAAAGAGGGCTGAGCATCCCTTAGCTTTAGTACTTGGGACCTGAGGTGTTTTGGATTTTTATAATTTTAATATCTGTATTTGCAGATATGTACATAATGAGGTATCTTGGATATGGGACCCATATCTAAACATGAAAATCCTTTATTTTTCATATACATACAGCCCAAAGTTCATTTTCCACAATATTTTAATCATGTGCATGAAACAAAGTTTATTCACAGTGAACCACCAGAAAATGAAGGTGTCACTATCTCAGCTATCCGTGTGGACTACTTTAAATTCAAGAGTTCTCAAAATTCCGATAAGGTACACTCAATCTGTATTCACTTGACTGATCTATTGTTTTTTATACCACTCAAAATCAAAATAATAGAAAAACAACAAATCTTACTATGATGAACGCTACAATAAAATTTGAAGAAGAAATGCTTTTAGTGTCTTAACATGATGATTATTCTGCTCAAAGTTTAGTTTAATGTAAGTCAAAGTTTTGCAAACAAATGTGGTTTTCTGCTGCACTCAATATATCTGTCTGAATATCAAAAAGTAACTATATATTATGTCAGACCCAAAGATTCAGTCATGTCACCTTGTTTTATATAGGATGCAAAATTAGTCATATCTAGTTTTACTCACTGGGTGGTCTGGTTTCTTTGGGTTGGTCACCTTTTAGCTCCTCTGCCACATTTTCCTTAACCACTGGAATTTGAGATGGCTGTTTTTCAGTTACTTCCAATTTTTCTGCGTGATCTGAAAAGAAATTTGGAACTGAGTAAAGAAAATCCAACTCCTATCACACTGTGAAACAGCACGCGGTAATGATCTGTAATGTTTACTACCTCTCACCACTTTCTAATGCTGCAATAATTGAGTATCTTCAAACAAAAATCCATCACAGCAATAAAAGTGTTTATCAATCCAAACCATTTGGTATTTCCACATATCTAATAGGGAGACCAAGTGAAATACTGCAGCTTCTCCACAGTTCTGTGTGAGGCTATCAGAGACAACTATTAGAAAAAAGTATGCATGCTCACCTTCTTTGCCTCTGTTTTCCAACTGGCTATTACTGGGCTTTGAAGTTCCAGGGTTTGTTCCCAGGAAGACACTTGCTGATTTATTCTTGTGTGTATAAAAAGTCAACACCTCTTCCAGATCACTTTCACTAAGGAAATAATAAAAACAATTGTATTTCTTGCCTGCCTCTTCTCGTCGCTCAAGGAGGATTATAACATAGTTAAAACACAAATCATTCTATAAAATACATGTATTAAAGCATATTTCTATAAAAAACATTAAAAAACACAGAACAAAGATTACAACACAGGACGCAACTTTAAAATTGATGATTACAACATATAGCAAGTGTTTGTAATTCTGTGACACAATTTCAACGAATGCTCAGAGATGCTTAGAGAGAAGCATTCAATGGAAAATAAAAATTAAAAATACAATACAAGGAAAGAAACTAAAAGGAAGTGGAAACTGAATTAATACATTTTCTCAGAAAACTGCTCAGTGAACATCCATACCAGCTTTAAGGTCTTTGACATCCAAAGCTTTAGGCCAAATACAGAGATTACCACAATGGTAGTTGTCGTCCCTTCCCACCAATGCACATAAATAAGAGGCCTAGTAATAAGAAAAAGTTGACTGTAGAAGGTCAACATTTTTTACAAGTGTCACAGAAATACTGAATAAGACTGCTGACAGAATTATTTTTAAACATTCCAGTCTAATGGACAAGGCTGCCGGGAGCCCTGGGATCAGTGCCCATCATTCAACTATAACTACTCTAAAGTTATACTTCCCCCTTCTTTCATGCAACCATAGTCACTGCATCGGAAAATATGAAAACAGAAAAAGGGATTCTGCATCAAGATAGCCTTCATGTTGACAACACTATATACCAACTTCTATTTGTCTGTGGGAGCTCACACCGCTCCCCGAATTCAAACCACCGACCATTCGGTCAGCAAGTTCCGCAGCTCAGTGGGTTTAACCCACTGTGCCACCAGGGGTTCCCAGCATATCTGCAAATAAGGGCACATAATGCTTAAGAAACACATTAAAAATCAGTCCTTACCTTGCTTTAGTAACAAATTCATGAAAACCTTCAGGATCCACACCCTCTTCTTCCTCCTCCTCCTGTTTTTGTTTTAATTTTTTCTGAGCCATCTGATCAGTTTCCTATAAGTAAGCAACACTGAAGTAACCTCTCCAGCCATCCTGACTGCATATACATTATGAGGTATTTAAAATGTTTCAAAGTGAAACAGCTAAGGGAGATAGCACATCAAGGATACGCAGCACATTGATTCTACAGATCCTCAGCTAATCCTGAGCTACAAAACAGCCCAATGATTACAAGCAGTATACCCATATTTTCAATCTGTATAAGAATGAGGACTAGATTTTTTTTAATGAAACCACAAAGAGTCCACGCTGCTCTATAATATCATCTAGAGTAGTAGTTCTCAACCTGTGGGTCCCCAAGTGTTTTGGCCTACAACTCCCAGAAATTCCAGCCAGTTTACCAGCTGTTAGGATTTCTGGGAGATGAAAGCCAAAACACATGGGGACCCACAGGTTGAGAACTACTCATCTAGAGCCTTCTCTAGCATATTAAAGATTTCAGGTTAACTAATGATAAATCTTTTCAATGACACTTTAAAAAGTATTCCTTGGTCTGTGGGGCAATGTAGAAGGTAATACATTTTTCTTTGGAATGTAACTTAAATTGTAAAATAAAAACATTTGTGAATACGGAGTTTTAATTGCCTAAAGGTCTGTCCTTGTGCTTTTCTATTCTGCTCCTGAGTATGCATGCCCAGTTTGGAACACATCTCACTATGCTAAAACAGTGCATGTGGCTCTTAATGAGACATGCTGCATTATCATAGGGTGCCTGCGCACTGCACCACTGGAGAAATTACACTAATAATCTGGTATTGCACCACCTGACATCCGCCAGGAAGTAGCAGCCAATAATGAAAGCACCAAGGTAGTGACATCTCTAGCCCAGCCCCTATATAGAGGAACTCAAAGTAACACCTCAGCAAGCAAGAGTCCAAAAATGGCAGGCAAAAAACCCAGAACCTCAAGTCATGGCTGATACCAAATGAGAGACTCCTTCCTGGGTACACAGAAAACTGGGTGACTTGGAAGGCACTGAACAGACTGCGTTCTGGCACCATGAGATACAGAGCCAACCTTAAGAAGTGGGTCCATGACATGCGAGTGTGGAAAAGAGCAAACCACAAACCACCTATTACAATGCATCCCGAGCCCAGCCACATGCACAATGGAGGACCTTCTTATAGCAACACCAGAGGTACTCCAAATAGCCAGCTACTGGTCAAAAGACATTTAATATAATGCCAAGTTTTGTGTGTGTTTTTTTAAAAAAATACAATAAACTGTATCCTTGTTTCACTCCTGATATGATAAATCAATAAATTGCCTAAAGGTTTACTTCTAAAAACCTTAACTGGCTTTATTGTTTTAAGAAAGCATGTACGATTATAAGCACATTTGCAACCTACTATGGATCTTAACTATTAGAATGTACAAATAATCTTCATATGAAAAATAGCATATTTTTAAATGTAGCTGCATTTGTCTGTACTATGCACCTACATTACTTTATTTACTTTCAATGCAGCCATTTATACGGTACAGACGCACGAAATGTGTGAGTTTTAATGGCAAAATATGCATAGCATATGTGTACTTAAATAGCTGGTTTTGCTTACAGAGGAGAAAGAAAGAAGCAATACTATTGTCAAATTCATCCATGCCACTCCCAATTGATAGATTGTAACTGTCAAACTGAACTTGGGCACCTTCTATCTGGCATTCTCTGACTAATGGAAGCTAAACAGTGAACTGTGTGGCTAAAATATACTTTTCAAGATTCATTAGTTATGGTGTTTACAAAGTGTAAATGGTGGGTGAAGAAAAACAATGGACAACAAAACATTATAAAATTAAAATTGCTTTAAAACTATACTATATCCACAGTGTTGAATTTATCTTTTTTTAAAAAAAGAGTTCCAAATACTAAGGTCTTAGACATGTTTCTTGCAACACATTAGGTTATCTCCTTTTGCATTTGTAAAAGATTAATTGTACTTCAGTTTTTTAAACCACCCACCTATAACTCGGCCACACGTTAAGTCAGAGAACATCAACTTGGCAAGCAAAAGGCATCATACTGTGTGACTACTAGTTTGAAAACCACTATTCTACAGCATCTCTGTAAAAACAATTTAATTTGGACTTCACTTTACTGAACTAATTTGCAAAAGCCCAATGATACCATCAAAGTTTTCTGATCGCTGTTTTCAAAGAGAATCAGAATCATAACATGGAAAGTATTTGCTTGCGAAATCTACCTAGAGACACAGCCAGTTCAGTCCCTGTTCTATTACATTTCCCTGTTTACTTGTTCTCAATACGATAAGCATTTATCTGATAAAATTTGGGTTTCCTGCTTAGCAAAAAGTGACATCAGCAACCCAAGTAACAAGACTCAGGGCCTGATAAAACAGGTTATCAAGTTATTACAAAAAAAGCTGAGTAAGCAAAAGCTTATGCCTACCCTCTACTATCTGAAAATAAATTTGAGTTTAATGATCTGCGACATTGCCTCTTTTCAACTTACAAAGCAGGAAGTTTGAAAGCATGAATTACTCATGATTTTACTTTGTCTGCTTCTTTACATCATTTCAACCTTTGAGTAGGAGCCCCTGGTGGTGCAATGGGTTAAACCGTTGTGCCAACAGGTCAGAGGTTTGAATCTGGGGAGAGCATGGATGAGCTCCCTCTGTCAGCTCCAGCTCCCCATGCAGGGACATGAGAGAAGCCTCCCACAGGATGGTAAATCATCAAAACATCAAGGCGTTCCATGGGCAGTGTCCTTGTGGGCAGCCAATTCTCTCGCACCAGAAGCAACTTGCAGTTTCTCAAGTCACTCCTGACAAGAAAAAAAGCCTTGGAGTAAAATAAAATAAAAGCAGGGAGCACTGATGTCTAAAATCAAACACATTCCTCTTCTCCTACACTAGACCCCAGCTTACACAACCAATACTCACCCTATTATAACAGATGATGAATTCACCAAGCTGGTGAGCCAAGATGCGCCTACGGTCAAACAGGGCTAGGCGCCGACTTGGGAGAAGCATTCTCAAAGACTGTTGAAGATTACTTGCTGCTCGCTTCAAAAAGCGAACCACTAGCTCCTGTCATCAAGGAACAAAATTAAGGAATAAATCCATCTAATGGATGTCTTCTATTTCATTGTAAAATGATATTGACAATGATATTGAATCCCACCCATGGGGAAAAGTCAGAAATGAATAAATAATGTTAATAATAATAATAATAATAATAATAATAATAATAATGTTTTTGGACTGGGGATAAGAAGCATATTGTAAAACAGTAAAAAAAAGGCAAACTCATAGGCAAAAAGATGCAAGTTATGATGTTCAGGAAACTATGACTATCAGAAATTCATAGTTTCCGTTAATTATATAAAAGCTCATAAATGGATTACAAGCTTTTATATCAAATTCTGAATATGAATATCACCACTATGCATCTCTGGCACCACCTTCTCCAAATCTCATGCCTTATATCAACCTGGCTGGAAAACCATGCCTTTCTATCCCATTATGTCAGCCCCAATAGTAGGAGGAACTGTCTCTAAAATGAACACTAAAGCAAGATGCCTGACTTGGGTGTCTAACTTCAAACATATTCTGTCTCCAGTCTGGATTTACTTTTGGTTAGGTGCCCTACTAAACATGCAAATGAACTGCCTCATAGCCAAAGTGTTGAATTTCACAGCTTGCATCTCACCAGCATTATATTGGGTTGGTTTGATCTGTTATTTTAAACATTATTTTTCACAGCACAGCAGACAAAGTAGCTCTCAGAGAGCCAGTTTCAATTTTCCACTTGGAAAGAGCAGGAGTAACATTTTCCACTGAGGCAAACTGATTATTCCCAATTCCTGACATAAGGCTTTTAATCTATGAGCTAGATTGGCTCTTTCCTTGTAGCCTGTTTTCATAGTCTCTTTTTGGGCTAAGAAAACTGCCTGCTAAGGGCAAGGACTGGAAGGGGGTCTGTTTTATTAAATGCTAAAAAGCGGCTGCTTCATATACAGAACAATGGTTCAGCTATTGTCTGGGGAGTCAGTAGACAACTCAAAATTATGTCTGGAAACCATGTTCCTGATACAGACAGTTCAACATGGGAATGGGAAACCTATGTGAAAAGGTGGGAAATAAAGAACTATGCTCTATTCAGCTGGGTTGATCTCCTTCAGAGCCTAAATACTTCTCTTCTAAATGATCTGCACACAAAGAATGTAGCCTGGCCCAAAGAGAAGTATTCAAATCATTTCAGAGACAGAGGCAGGATGAGCTAGTCTTGCAATGGTTAACTAACCCTAGCTGATGGAAATCAGCTTCACACTGACTGTGATTCAGGAATGCTGACTAGGCTGGTTTCTCCTCCATGAAAGGAGTTGGATAAGCAGACTATGCCTTACCATTTGTTCATCTTCCTTAGCAGCCCAGGCAGGATTATGGACCTGATCCCCAGCCTCTTTCATCAGGCGCAACTGAACACGATGCAAGTAGGCAGAGAAAGCCTTGCGAGCCTGAACTTTGCTGCAGAAGCAGAGAGGCATAGATAACTGTTAGAAGTACAGTTGAGATCCACTGACTTTAGACTCAAAAACTTCTCTGAGCACAAACACCTCTCTGCTATAGAGGAAAGGGCTGTTTTAGGATCAGAAGGGCCCATGGTGCAAAGGCAAAGGAGGGTTCCATATATCTCAGAAAGTATTAGAAAGACAATCCGAAGATCTCATAGGGAAGCTCTCTCTCAAAAACAAACTTCTGGAGGATAAATTCAGTATCACTCGACTTATCTATCTTGTGGTCTAGGGGGAAAGCCAAAGTATACATTTTATAATGAAAATTCTTTAATAAGCTTCACTGCAAATTGGGCACAGGATGGAAAAAAGATATCTTGATATTAAGATGAAAGTGGCAGACTACTAATTTTGCAAGGGAATATGATACCTCTATATAGAGAAAGTTGGATCCAAACTAAGGAGGTTACTCTTAAATCCCACTGAATTCAACCTGAATGTTAGTCATGACTAATATAAGTTCCATTAATTTCCATGAGATTTTAGTGTAGATAACTTTGTCTGGATCCAACTCAGAAAATAAATACATTACTGAAACTTGGAGAGAGCTGTTAAAACCTCCCCAGTGTCTCAAACACAAGGCTGCATTTTCCATTTACAAAGGCTCTTGAAATAGATCACTGAATATCCTTAAAACATTTGATCAAACTCATAAACCTGGAATAATATGTTCATTATCTTCAAAAGAAACTAAAAGCAAAACTGAATTTTTAAGATTAATCCAAAATGCATAGCATTACAGCTCTATTCAAACAAGCTCGCAAAGCCAGACAAACTTGTTAGCTGCAGACCATATGATTGTCTCTTGAATCCCAAGATGCATTGATCATATGAAACTGGGCTCTTTCTTTCCTCTAACCACAGAGGTAATTGCAGGAATGAGTGACAAAAGCATTATCTTTTGATGCAATAGCTTTGACAAGGATAGATGTTTCCACTAAGTAAGTTCTGTATGGCACAAGGTAATAGAGCACTTTTCTGATTTTAATTGTCCTTTTAAAGTAAAAAAAAAAAAAAAGGGGGGGGGAGGCAGGAGAAATGGAGTGTAACAGACAGAACCTCCAAGGTCATATGGGGGACAAGGTATATGGGCCCTTCCACACAGCTCTATATCCCAGAGCATCAAGGCAGAAAATCCCACAATATCTGCTTTGAATTGGGTTATCCGAGTCCACACTCAGATAATGTGGGATTTTCTGCCTTGATATTCTGGGATATAGAGCTGTGTGGAAGGGCCCAAAGTTCCAGCCCACTTCAATCAAGATGGTGTTTATCTCCTGATTGGAGTCAGTTGTCTCCCTTACATATAGTGCCTGATTACAGAGCCTGCACTGGCAGTGAACATCTGCCTTCAATAAATTATGCTATTCTTGCTGCAGCAAAAGCCAACCCAAAGTCTACCTATGTGAGTAGAACCATCACTAAGACCAGGCAAAATGTGGTAAAAGGATCCCAGTCAGTGCTAGTGTCACAGTGGTGACACTAGGTCAAAGGTCTACTAAGCTTAGGATTGGTTCTAAATAGTCTTCCCACAAATATAAATATAAATGTTACATCTGGTTTTCACTTCGAAGCTATCACGGGTAACAGCAGTCAAAATGCCACATCAGTGAATGTAAAAAAAAACAAACCATCCTTGAATCCAGGATCTGACCCTGGGGTAATTACACTGACCTGGTTTGCATTAAATAATCTTAGTTAGATGAATTTGTGGTGGGTGGGGTGTTAACCTCTCCTAGCTTTGTTCACCAGGATTGTCTGTATGGCAGCAGGTGAAGCCTGGAGAGGCCACTCAGCTGTTCAACAATCTTCCTTTCTAGGCTAGCTGAATTGGTCTCAGCAGTGGTGCTACCCCCCCACCCCCAATTCTCAAAAACTTGTGCTGGGGGACTTCAACATCAATCCTGAAACCACTCTGTTGGAAACAACTGGGGACTTCACATCTCTTATAAGTACCATCTGACGAAACCCATGCTGCAGGGCACACTCTGGACTCAAGTTTCTTGTGCTAGGCAAGATTTTGCTGGTCTGGGTGGAGGAACTTTCCAAAGTTCTGTTGTCATGGATAGACTTCCTACCTGGTTAGGATTTAGATTCACAGAGAGATGGAGCTTCTGTAGGACTGGTGGTGTGTGCTATTAAGATGGTCTACTTCAGAAGTTCTATGAATCTAGGTGGATTTCTGATGGCCCTTGGTACATTTCCTTTGTTTTGGCAGGGGATCCTGCTGGAAGATCTGGCTGATCTTTGGGAATAATATGTAAGCCACCCTGAGTCTCTTCAGGGAGATGGTGGCAGGGTATAAGAATAAAGTTGTTGTTATTAATAGAACAATAGAATAATAGAGTTGGAAGAGACCCTGTGGGCCATCCAGTCCAACCCCCTGCCAAGAAGCAGCAAAATCATATTAAAAGCACCCCCGACAGATGGCCATCCAGCCTCTGCTTAAAAGCCTCCACAACTCTCTGGAGGAGAGAGTTCCACTGCCAAAGAGCTCTCATAGTTAGGAAGTTTTTCCTAATGTTAAGGTGGAATCTCCTTTCCTGTAGTTTGAAGCCACTGTTCTGCGTCCTAGTCTCCATGATAGCAGGGGTTCAGTTGCTTCCTTTCCTGCTGCCTTTATGTCATCAGGCAAAGCCTTTTAAATTTAGACAGGCCTTTGTTTTTCAACCTTTTGTAAAAACAGACACTTTTAATGTGGTATGTTATGTCAGTATCTTTTTATTGTGTTTTAAATATGTTTTAAAAACTGTTTTAACTTGTGTTTTGCAATAGCATTGTTTAATTGAACCAATAGTTTTTTGCCTGTACTTTGCTTCAATCTGTAAGCTTCTTTAAATTCTGCACTGGAAATATGTGTGCTATTAAATAAATAGTTTGTGTGTTTATATAAATGCTTTTAGTAAATAAATTCCTTTTTATGGTAATTAAAAACCATTAGAAACCATCACTTCATTTTGTGGCAATAATTTGTATAACAAATGATGCTCAACCTTTAAAGGTTCATGAAATTCTGCACAAACCACCAAATAGGCCATGGCAAGCTGAAGCTTTTCATAAGCATACTTCCTCATTTAAAATCCACTTTAACCAAAGCAATCTCATGAAAACTCTTACCTTAGATTCTTGTTTTCATGAAGAACCTGTAGCAAATTAAATGGAAGCTCAACACTCTTTGGCAGAGTATCCAATTTGCTCTCGCATGGTAGCCCTTCACTTTTAGGTTTCTGTTCAAGTTGGTTCTTTGTCAACTTCCCCTGATGAGAAGGCTCCATCTGCTCTGACAACTGTGGTTTAGATTTCACCTTCATATTTTTAAGACAATCAGCTGTTTCATTCTGAGGTATTTCTGGTTCTTCATCTTCTTCTGTTGTCTCCTCTTCCTCTTCGCATTCCATTTCTGACTTGAGAACAAAATCAGTTGACTGCAAAGTCCCTGTAAAGAATCAATATATTACCGGCTCTAAACATTTTAGTATCGGTGAAGTATGGTTAAAAAACTTTAGCTCTTATATGAATCAGTGCAGAGTCTTGAGGTTGTGGAAAACAGCTTTTATTTTTACTGAAAAATCCTAGTAGCAAGTGGTGTAGATTTAACAAAATAAATCCTTTCAGAAAGAGTTTTGAACCCAGGGAAACTGACTTTTGATAAGCAGATTTATTGCTTTCACACATTAACACTAACAGTCACTGTAATGCTCTGAAAAACCCGCATCACCTTGGCCAGTCCTTTGAAAATTTATGGTAAGAAGCAAACTCTGGTAAGAAGCAAACTATGGATCTTGAAGCTTTATGCAGAATGGTGTTTGCAAGAAGAAAAACCTTAATTGCCTAACTTGTCCTTTTCTTTGAAGCCAGAATGCATATTCATTTTGGATTATGATTTCTTGGTATGGGCTTCAAAACTAAAGGTGTCCTCAGATTTTTCCTGCGATCACTCTATGTATTACAGTTGACGTTTTAAAACAAACTAAAATATAGATCAGCATTTTAACAGCTGAACAAAGAAAAGGAATTAAAATGCTGCAATTAAAAAAATATCATGAGTTGATGGGTAAAGCATGTAGAGAACTGAAAATTTACAAACTAGTTAAAACCTGGAATTGCTGACTGCTCAGAAACTACACAGATGGATCATGGGGACGAACGGCAGAAACGGGTATTGAGTGAGGCGGTAGCATTTGCTTCTTTCTGGATCCCTTCAGATTTCCCCCTCTTATAACTATATAAATATGCTGTATATCTGAGGCCATTCAGTACTTCATCTGAAAAATTGGATTTATATATAGAGTTCATGCTAAAATAAAAGTTTGATTTAATGTTTTTGCACAATTTATTTTTCTCTCTCTTCCTTCCTCCTTTTCATCTTTAAGAATGGGCATGGCTGTGCCTTTAACTGAAGCCTTTTGTATCATCTGTCTCACTCAAAGCCACGTCATTAGATCTGTAACTTTTCAATGTCATATCTAAAAATGTCATTGGTATACTCCAAGCCACAACTTTACAAACTTTGTCAAGAGTTTTACTAGTTGCAGACATCTTTATTACTGCCATTGTTCTTGTGGAATGTGCCAGCACAAGCTATGGCCATGGTCTTTTTGCCTGGTGGTAACAGAGGTGAACGCATGTTTTAATTCATCATGACAGCTGCACATTTCAAGTGTGTGGACCCATTGTTTGTGGATTAAAAGATAAAACCAAGGCCTGAGTGTGTATGAAGGTTTGTGTTCATGCAATGTAAATTTTAAGAGTTCCTCTTACATTTAAGGTGCATCATATTTGACTCTAATGATGAGACAGATTAGTGCAGAAGGCTGAAAGCAATATGCCTTCACAAAGTCAGGCATTTGATACTCTCTTAGGTAGGAATAATTGGTTTGATCATGTCACTTCATTGTTACTAAAGTAATACAAAGTTTCATTGATTGAAAACTGAAAAAAATCTACGTTTTCTTGCTACTAGACAAACAACTTTGAGGATCAAAAATCTTATTTTTCTTGCAAAGATTTGCGTTGATGGACCATTAAATGCAAAAAAGTAATTGACTGAATTTTGCAAGACCAACTATTTATTAATTGGAAACAATTCCTCAAGCAACCAAGGGGGTGACATGGACTTCACCTAATAGCCAATACAGGAATCAAATTGGGTACATAATCAGAAGCAAAAGATAGAGAAGAACTATTCTGTTCACTAAAATGAAGCCTGGAGAAAATTATAATGCAGACCATAAGCCACTAATATAAAAAATTAGAAGTTGAAAAAGAACACTAAAACGGATAAAATAAAAAGATCATAAGCTGCTAGATAGTTTCAGACCAAAAACAGACAACAGCGACTGCACTGTCTATAGCTTTAAACACTTCTTCCTCTGTACATGAGTCAGGGCATTGTGGGCAAGCATAAGGATGCTGAGTTGTTTGTTCTGCTCCACAATCGCACAAGGTGGAGGATTCTTCTAGGTAGTGCCATTTTGCCAGGTTGCCTTTTGATCCGCCAACTCCGCTTTTGAGTCTGTTCAGGGACTTCCAAGTTACCCATTTTTGGTTTGCCCCTGGAGGAAGACCCTCATGGGGGGCATTCAACTGGAATTGATTGATTCTTGCTGTTGCTGGAGGAACATTTAGAGGAGTGGTGGTTCTCATTAAACTTTTCCTTAAGTCTACTGGGAGGAGGCTGATAGCCATATAGTGGGTGGCTTTCATCGTGTTCAACTGTATTGTTCTTGCAATTGGCAGCAAGGAGATAGGGCCCATAGATGCAAATCAAGCTCCTTATCCTCTAGACCCGTGCTCTAATGCTACTGTGTCAAGATTTGTACTTACCTGACAGTCTTGACCGTCTTGGTCTGAGTTTGCCATGACGTCGTCTTCGTTTCCGTACCTCTAGTGACAGAAGTTTCCGCTCATAAAGAGCAGCATGAAGCTGAGCATTACAGTCCACAACATCCAGACCCAGTTCTCCAGCAAGAGCTAAACTGCAAACGAACAGAAAGTAAAAAATAAAATTAAAAACTAAAATCAAAAATCCTTTTCTCTATGGTTATGTTTAGAAAAATGTACAAGCTAATCTCCCTGCTAAATAACTAATACTTCTTTAAAGAGGTCTGTATACAGTCTCACTTATTGGAGAAAGCGCACAAAACTCAGCCTATCCTACCTTTCCAAAAATCAATTAAGAATCAAATGGTTCACTAATTCACTTTTTCCACTATTTAACAAACATGGTAACATTCTATATGATCAAAGTGGGCTATCATTTTTTCTTAGAACATTTATATCCCACCCTTTGGCTGAAGACCTCAGGGCAACTTACAAGAAATGTAATTTAAAACGATAAATAATAACAATTTTAAAAGACTAAATATTAACTCCTTTGTCAGTTAAAACAAGTCAACTTAAAACCAGTTAAAACAATTAAAAATAACAAATGTGCAAGCGAGATAAAATCAATTAAATCATTTAACTTCTGAAGGCTATAATAAAAAGTCATGTTTTCATTTGGTGCTAAATGGGTTGCCAAGAAGAGACTATTCTACAACTGGACTTGCCTTTACAGAGGAGACTGTTTCCCATGTCTTCTAACAATGTGGGATACAGAGATGGACCCCCCCCCCCATTAGAGCTCAATTTTCAAGCATATACAAGGGGAGGCACTCCTTCGAGGATTAAAATTCCAAGCCATTTAGGTATTTAAATGTTATCACCAGCATTGTGAATTCAGATCGGATGTATATTGGCAGCCCAAGCAATTCTAAAATAATTGCTATGGTTTCTGAATAGTGCTCCAGTCAACAAACTTGCTGCTGTATTCTAGACAAGCTACTGTTTCTCAGTTGTCTTCAATCCCACACCAAGTGCACTGTAGTAATCTAACCGGGATTTTTATCACTATTGTGGCTAAATTATCACTATCTAGAAAAGACTATAACTGGTGGACCATGAAGTTTGCCAGATCCTCCAGTAAGAAAGATATATTCAAAAATTCTGTCAAGCTTCAGATGCAGTACAAGCCATCCAAGGTAGCTAGATCTGAGACCTAGCAATCCACAGAGCTTCTGTTTTATAGGATTCAGATCATTTTATTGGCCTTCCTCCAGACAATTACATCATTCAGACATTGCTCCAGGACCTTCAAAGCTCCAGCTAACTCCACTGATGAAGAGGACGAGAGCTAGAAGACTTTTGGATACTGATGGCACCCAATACTCAAGACTCTGAATGACCTCTCCCAGAGGTTTTATACAGATACCGAACAACATGTACATCAAGATATTTTAATCCGTAACAGATAATACAATGAAGAGGAAAAGAGAAGAACATATTGGGAAACACTCAGAGATAATAATAGTTACAAGTCCATATGCCGTGCACCATTTATTATCACTAATGGGTGATCTTAGAACCTTTGCTCTTAGATGGAAAAAAAAGAGTGAACAATTCAAAACAGAAGATAGACAACCTTATATATTATTAATAGTTGGTCTGCCCTCTCCCCCAATAAACAATGCAATATGACCACTACCTCCAAGGTAGTATTTCTGCAACAGCTAAGCATACTCATTATGCAAAAAAGCAAAGCCAGTATTTTTTTTCTATCAAAACATTTAAGAGAAACAATAAGCCCCTTGCTACAAAATATATAGTTAAAAAAAAAACACTTCAAAACACATTGCTTCCCAAGCTGAGTATGGTCCTAGCTTTACCCATTATAACAACTGCATTATAAAACATGTAGAATATAGAATTCTGGCAATAAAAAACATGGACACTTACCATGTATCTATATAACTATAACAAGACTTCCTGTCATATCAAGATGAACTATCCTAACTCCCTGAATTGGAACAAAGACAAGAATCATATAATTTTGTGGCAATGAAACATGATTTTGTTAGCCATTTCTTTATTCGTGTTTTTTCACTTTCAGGATGGTCATGTGCTCCTAACCTCAGCAAATGTGGAAGGCTGACTATATATGTAAGCCCACTGTTGGGAAAAGTAAAGCTGAGAGGTTGCTTTGTTACCTGATACTGTTGTTGAGAAATCTAATGGCAAGATGCCCACTTTGCAAGTCAAAACCTCTAAATAAGAAAAAGAATACACGCTGTGTGATATCAGAGTCTGCATCTTTATAGAATAATAGAATCATGGAGCTGGAAGGAGCCTTATGGGCCATCTAGTCTAACTCCATGCTCAATACAAGATATCTAGCTAAAGCATCCCTGCTAGTAGCTGTCCAGCCTCTTTTTGAAGATGTCCAGAGAAGGAAATCTCACCACCTCTCTAGACAATTGATTATATTGGTGAACCACTCTTACTGTCAAATGTCCAGTAAAAAATCTACTCTCTTGTAACTTCAAACCATTAGACCTGGTCCTACCATCTGGAGCAGAAAAGAACAGACCTGCACTCTCCTGTCTGTGACAGCCTTGAAGTATTTAAAGAATGCAATAATGCCATGCCTCAGTCTTCTGTTCACCAAACTGAACATGTCCAGATCCTTCAACATTCCTTCATACGTTTTATCTAAATGCCTCTTATTATCTTCACTGTCTTTCCCTGAACCTGATCTTGTTCCTACTAAGAATATATCTTACAAATGAAGAGCCTGTTGATTCAGGACTATCTAGCTTAAAATGAAAATGTATTTTCCAAAGAGATGTTAAGGAATCCAGAAATGTTACTTGTAAAATACAATGCTGCTGCCTGTTTTAGAGCAGAAAGAGTTTCTTGTGCCTTCTATGTCTTGTTTCACTATAAAACTTAAAGGCCTCTTATAGGGGATCTAACACATACAGATAAAAAGCTAAGGTATTAGTTAGAATAATGTCTATAGTCTCAAGTATAGTATCTTACTAAAAGCCATATTCTTCAAAGAATAACAACATTTTCTAGAAATTTTGTAACTGCTGTAACCTTATGATAAGATGGTGAATGTGAGTCACAAATAAGCTAGAAACAAGCTAGTCCAGTATAAATTACTTGTATTGCCTTATTATCAAAATGCATTTACTTTTTTCCCCTTTGTGTGTTTTTTAAAGCATGAAAAAGATATAGCAGTAGAAAAACATGATAGGTGTACAAATAGAAGATGACTACATTTGGATATTACACATATTTGATCAAGAAGCACAGTCTGGACTCAGTCTGGGCTATGTTTGTGGTGACCTCAGAAGAAGCACAATTGCTCAATCAGTAAAACTTTTAAATCTACAACAAATGTTTAGACTTTTACAGAAATTACTAAGAGATCAGGAACACTGAATCACTACATAATAAATCTTCCAGGAAAAAAACATTTGACAACTCTCTCACACTCACTTACTCTCTCACACACAAAGATTAATTTGAAATTGTTATATTTATAAATTAGTAGATTTAAGGCATATATTTGATCTTATATGGATTCTTGTATATAAAAAGTGACATGTTTTTATAACAGTTTCTTATAACCCCGCACCTTCTGGGGTAGGTATGTTTATAATGAATTTGCTTTACAGTAGATTCAAAAGAATTCCTTTCCATCTTGTAACCATTATTAATGGAATCTTTATTCTTTCTCTGATATACTCCTATTGGGGTTAGATCCAGTCTTAATTGTACCTGATACCTTACTAAAATCCTACAGATGCTTGTAGATTCAGTCCAAGCATGACTAAGACTGGGTCCAGTTCTTTTTCACTCATGAGAGAAAGAGGGTATCTAGCTTTGTTTCTAACTTTGTTTCTTGGAAGTAAAGGTTATGTAACTATAAGCAGAAGACTTTGTTCCAAGATGATCTCACAATATATTTTGACTTTTCATTGAAAAGTCTTGATTTTCTTAACTGTTGATATCCTAATTTCATTACAAGTTAGTCCATTACTGTCAATCTCACAATCTGCTCAATAATAATGGAAACACTGCAAAACATTAAATTATATTCAAATCAGTTTGCTGATATACCGGCACCACTTTCTTCATGATTTAAAAACGGAATCTCCCAAACATAAGAAAAAGCAACAGATATGACTGCTTCAAAGTGGCTTAATAAACTACTTGATATCCTATTTTATGGAAACTTAAAATATATCCAAAGGCTCAGCAGTGCAAGGAACCTAATTTATATTTCCCATGAAACTGATTAAAATAACATTATCACTGCTGAATGGATATTACATCAAAACTACACCAAAAAAACAAGGAATGACCAACATCCAATGAGGTTTTCTCTCCTGCTCTCACAGATTTTCCATTCTGGAAAAGCAGATCTGAGAAATTTGCGAGGATTTTATGAACCCCTGAAAATCTTCTTTTTTGACAGATAAAATCATGAAGAGATTTTCTGATTGCCTGTCCTTTCTCTTTCTAAAGCAGTATGTCCCATCTCCACTTTCAGAGATTAGTTACACAACAGAGTACTATATTTTCACAAATATTTGATCTCATGATCATATGCTCTACACTTGGAGTGTGAGAGGCCTCTAATATGATTAGAAGTTTGGAACTATTCTTTTTACTTTAGTACAATGTAAACTCTCACTTTCGTTGAAATAAAATGCATTTTCACTGTTTACTTAATTGCATTACCAGGAGACAGCAGAGTAGAAGACCAAAAGCTGGAAAGGACTGACAAATTGAAATTCGACGATTATGGCAAAAGAGAACAACAATGATACCAATAATGGTTGCTGCATTTGGAGGCATTCCAAGAAACCTTGAAAAGCACGAGAAAAGTCTTAATTTGGACAGAACATCAGTCCACATGCTGCAGAAGGGAGCAATTCTTGGGTCTGTGCACATTCTGTGAAAATACCTCTAATATCCTAGGCCCTTGGGAAGAGCCCGATATTCAGAGACGAATCCCAGACACTTGGACCTAATATGTATGTATGCTGTGTTATGTACAAATAAATCTATATAATAATAAATAAAATTTGCCAGATTTAATGACAAAACAAGACTTTATTTCTTAACATGAGAATCCTTGTTTGAGATCCAATGATGACTTTATGATACAACTACAAAATCAACTGTATTATACAAGGTGCTTACCGAGTTCGTTTAAGAACTGGACATCTCCTTGATCCACCTCTGAAGGGGAAAAAGAGAAGATTATGAAGACACCATAAATATACATCAATTCACAGGAAATCCCACATTACTCTGAGATAAATGCCCAATCAAAATAATCAGAAGCAGAATAAATCCATGCACAAAATGAAATATGACTATGTGATTGTGCAGTCTGCTTACAACCCTGTAATTCTAGTTAATGATCAAGTTAACATTATACAGTGTGAGGCAGCATAACTTCCTTTTCTAAAATGTACACCATTCAGTCGGTTGAAGATGTAGCGGAGCACTAGTGGTCTTGTTCAAGAGGCGAGTATAAAGTTTTGCTCTGACACAGTTCAGTCGCCATCATGCGTTGGAACAGTGAGGAGCGTGCTTTTGCTGTTGAGGCCTACTTTTCGAGCGGATTTGGAGTGGCCGGCCCGCTCTCCAGATTTGGCCCCTTGTGATTTTTTCTATGGGATTTTTTTAAATTCCATGTTTATGTGAACCGTCCAAGGACCCTACAAGCTTTGAAGACCAACATCCAGGAAGAAATTGCCAACATAACGCCTACTATGCTGGCAAGAGTCATCATAAACGGCAGAAATCCGTTTACTCAGTGTATGGAGAATGGAGAATGGGGGACGTCACTTACCTAATTTGGTCTTCAAAACTACGTAAAACAAAACTTTAGGTATGCGCCTACATTATAAAAAAAATCTGATTCATACAATGGGTTTTACTAAGTTTTGAAAAAAGGAAGTTAAGCTGCCTCACCCTGTACTTGTACTGGCTGATGACACATAAAACTGGAGAATTATGTAAGTGCAGAATTCCAAGTGAGCTGGTCTCTCACAGAATGTAAGGTCGCAGTGCTTGGAGCATTGGCTTAACATCAACAGTTCATGCCAATTCGATTTGTTACATGCAGCATATTTTACAACATGTGTATCTGTAACTGTAGCATCAGCACAAGTTTATGGGGAATTTGTTAGGAATTAGCAAAGCCCGCTGGGGCTGACATTTCACTGGCCCATCAGTTTAGTAGCAAAGCTACAACTTCCACTTAGTTGTAGTGGAACTTTCAAGTAGATGGGCATACATGGCAGTGGAACAATAAATCAGACAATATGGCTGCCACAAGACATAACATCCCGCCCCTGACTTTTAGCCCTTTATACGGCTAAATTATAGACAAAATTGGAAACTATGGCAGGGCCATTTGCAAGGTCACGGTGTACACAGTACTTAGGAAAGCATCACAGCAGCTCTCTAAGAGCAATCTTCCCAGCCTCAAATTGAATTCCTCAAATTGAATTCAGTTGACTGTATCTTTGGAGCCTAGTTAAACATAAAGCCATTTTACAACATAAGCTGTTTGCACTGAGTGCCTTGAAGCAAGAGAGTACCTCCAAATGTCTGAAAGGCAAAGCTTGCCCAAAACAAGTAATTTGAAAGCACACTCAGATCTTGCCATTCAAACTTGCCAATTAAAAATTTACTACCCCTCTGGGAGGTCTGCTTAGGTTTTATTACTAAAAAATAATAGTATTAAACACAGAAACAAGTGAGATGGATTCCTTGTTCATACTAGTGGAAGTGGTAATCACTTTAAAAAATGCATTCCAAAAAGGATCAGCAAGCAGTGTGCCTCTGGGACACGATGTTCCCAAAGAAGAAATGACCTATAATGTGCAATTGAGTGGAGGCCCATAGTTCAATAGAACAGCACATACTTCGCATGCATACAGTTCACAGGTTCTACTCCAACCACCATCTATTAAAAGCATCTTGGACAGGCAGTTGAGGGAAAATCCTGTGGATGAGGCTATCGAGAGCTGCCTCCTTCACTGAAGTAGTTTCAATGACTAACCATTAAATTATTTTCCACATTAGAGCATTCTAGGGAGCACTGAGATACGTATTTGCCATGCATCGTGGGGAATCTGGCGAGGCCAGGTGTGCGGTATGCGGAACCCGTTGCCCCACGCTGCCTGCCTTACCCCTCTCCTTATCCCATGAGGGGGGGAGGTTCACTGCCCTGTTTCCCCGTTGTTTCCTATGCAACATGGAAAGCCTCCTAAGTTGCTCATGCTGCCTCATATGACACTTCAACTTCACTTGAGGTATGGAGCCCTAATGCAGGTAGATCGACATTGTGTGATGGGAGGCAGTGAGCTCCATGCCTCAAGTGAAGTCGAAATGTCATACGGAGGGCAACTTAACCGGTCTGGTGAGGTTGTAAGATGCAAATTGAGATATTGTTACTAACCATGACATTACATTCTTGAATGGCATTTAAGCCAGTTTCAAATAGGTATTGAAGAAAGTGGTTTCACTGTGCAGCTGATTACATAGGGAATCCTGGCCAAGATGGTGAATACACAAACCACAGAGCACTAGCGCATATTAAGCACTTTCTTTTGAACACTTTCATGGGCATTTATTGTCCAGCCACCACTAGCTTCAAATGACATGAAATTGTCAGTATAGATGGAGTCTCAATAGTGCTTCCCACTTTAAATTAATAAATTCCTTAAACATATCTGGTTATAGTTTTTCCATCCCTACTGGGGAATGTTTCTTTAAAAGGCATGGCCCGACTTACCGGGCCAGGGAAGTTGCGGTGCAGTGCGTCCCCCACCGCCATTCTTGCCTCAGGGGGGCTTCTTCCTCCCAGAAGCCCCTTGGATGGCGGGAAGGTTTCCCGCTGGTGGGTCAAGTGACCAATGGCCGACTGACCACGCCTCACTGCGGAAGAGGCCTGAGCTGGCCTCTCCCTCTTCGCGGGCAGCCTATATAAGGCTGCCCCAAGCTCCCCAGCAGGCACTGTGCCTGCAACAGCTGATCCATCCCACCTACCCTGCATGCGGTTTATGTTTTCATCGGCGGTCAACTTTTGTTGTTGTTTTTACCTTGTCCTAGTTACCTGTTAACAGTTACTTGTTTTTTATGCTTCTTGTCACATCTCCTTGTTGGTGTGGGGCATGGGCCCTGGATCTGGTTTGGTATCCACCCCTAGGGGAAAGGAGGTACGTCTGGTGGTCCCAGGGGTGCCGAGTTACATTTGCCCGGTATTGTGCCGGCAGCACCCTGGCTTTTGCAGTATCGGACAGCAGTGGGCTGCCCGATCGTGATCCAGGACCCATGCTTGGCTGCCAATCCTTGTTCCTGTTATCAATAAATGAGTTGTGGCCATTGTTCATTCCAACATCATGTGTGAGCGTACTTCTTGGTTGGCTGTGGGAGGTGTATCGCACTTGCACATGCAAAACCAAAGCCACCCTGGGTTTGTTGTTTTCTTTCTTTATTATCGAATGCCTTTACATTGTAATCTAATCTTAAAGACTGTAACAACCTCTTAAGAATACAGTGGATCCTCCAGATCCACAGGGATTCAATTACAGGATCCCGTTTGATGCAGAGAGAGGGAGAGGTTATTGCATCCAATGTTTTTAAATGGTGGCTATGTGTGCACAGAACTTTCAGAGTATCCACGGACATGTTGTCACTATTTTATGTATAGGACATGGCCATCTGAGATTGGTGGGAATAACAGAACTGGAGTGAAAAGAGTGGAGTCAACAATCTAAACAGAAAAAGAAACTTGCGCTTTGAAATCAATGGCTGGCCTGTGGTGAGTGACCCAAGAGTGAGTGGATTGCTCTTCCATGCTGACCAGAGAATTATTGTATTCTTCCAGCAACAGAATGGCAGAGAAACAAGAAATATTCTGCTTTTCTCCTATGATCTAAAGCAGCCTTCTTTAACCCACCACTCTTCAGATGTGCCTAATTACTGCAGCCATCATCCCCTAACAGGAGAAGAAGGCCAGTATCAAGCAAAAACTGAATCTTTGGTCATCTGACATATCAGCTGAATCTTAGCTGAATCTTTGACCAGCTGACAAGTGAAGCTCAAAAAAGTTATACTAGATATATGTTCCAATTAAAATCATGTATCATCCACAATTACCAAATGCAAGCAAATGCAAATAAACAACTATTGTTGGGTATCAGATTTTTCTTAAAAATAATTCTAAAAAACCAAGGACAAGGATTTCTCACAATGAAGAAGAAAAGCACAAGGATCTGACATGGAACTTAGAACTTTTTATCTTTTCTGTAAGTGACCCAAAGTGAAAGCCAAGACATCAAACCACTAGAAGACACCCAAATGTCCAAACACATCACAGTTTCAAGTAAGATGTAGATGAATTAGGTAAATTCACACACAAATGACATGTGGCAGCTAAGATTCTGTTTAAATTATGAGGGAGTAGTGACCTTCCAACTGGCTGACCATTTATTTGGGGAGAAATGATAGATAGAGCTGATTTTAGTTTCACCCACCGAAGTAGTTAAACTTAGTACAATATAGTCTCAGTTAACTGAGACTCAAGTAACCAGAACTCTCAAGCAACCAGCAAAAATTGGAAGAAATAATTCTTTAAATATTGTGAAAAGCTGTTTTTGTAATACCGTAAAACAGTAACTGTGTTACATTAAGTGTGTCTTTATTCGTCTTAGTTTGCTTTAAATTAATGTAAGAAAAGGTAAAGGCTTCCCCTGACATTAAGTCCAGTCATGTCCAACTCTGGGGGTTGGTACTCATCTCAATTTCTAAGCTGAAGATCAGTGTTGTCCATAGACACTGCCAAGGTCATGTAGACAGCATTAGTGCATAGAGTGCCGTTACCTTCCCACAGAAGTGGTACCTACTGATCTACTCACATTTGCATGTTTTCAAACTGCTAGGATGGCAGAAGCTGGGGTTAACAGCAGGAGCTCACCCCATTCCCCAGATTTGAACCACCAACCTTTTGGTCAGCAAGTTCATCAATTCAGTGGTTTAACCCGCTGTGCCACCAGGGGGCCCTTTAATTAATGGATTTCAATATTAATATCAAGTCAATACAGAGTTTATGGTATGCTGTAGTATGGGGTATTAGGCCTGTTTTTAATAGTAAAATCTCAAGCAACCAGAAACTACATTTATCCAGGATCTACCAATCCCTTTGAGGGATTCTCAGTCTCTACTCTAGATATATTGAGCAATGCAATGCTTATGTTCAAATGAGTGTTCTCCTTTTTATCTATATGAATTATATTTCTTACTGCCCATTTCAAAAGACAAACAGTAGTGATGAAGGAGTTAATTGCTAGCAAATCCCCGAGAAACCAGAACTTTGCCAACAAGTAGTCTTCTTTTACTCCATTCTAGGCTGGATACGACTAGGAAATATTTTCTACCTTTCCTGGAAAAGTCGAGTGGCCAGCATGTAGTTCATTGTGGTTTTGTGTTCCAGAAATGATCTGAAAAAATAAGCAAGAATAGGAAGTCAGTGAAAATTCACTATCAAATAAAGGAAACAATATATCAGTAAAGGAAATTGTCAAATCTTTTTATAAAGTGCAGGAAAAAAGGAACAAAATCAGGAACCAGGAGAAAGAAAGCATAACATTTGAGTGGTTAAAAGTTGGAATAAGTGGTAATGACATAAAGAGAGTGCAAGGCACAGCCCTAGAAGGGAAATCTGCAGTGCAAGGAAAGGTCTTAAACTTTGAAAATAAAAGTATTAAAAGAGTATGAAAAAAAAACATTTTATCTCTCCCCCTCCAGGTATATACAATCAATTTAAAGATGATACATTCAAACTTTGAACTTTTGCTCACCCATAAGTGTCCCAGGTTACTGGTGTAGGAAATATCCGAATGAATCCACCCCTTCTCTCATATTCATCCTTTACTCGACGCAGGACTTTTATCTGAAATTAGAATGAGGAAGGGAAGTCACACAGTGGTCCTCAACTTGTGGGTCCCCAGATGTTTTGGCCTTCAACTCCCAGAAATCCTAACAGCTGGTAAACTGGCTGGGATTTCTGGGAGTTGAAGGCCAAAACATCCGGGGACCCTCAGGTTGAGAACCATATATAATGTTAGCCACAGAAGGAGATCTACCTTCACAGAAATTTAGAAGTACCCAACACCAATAAACACTGGAATATATACATAATATGGAAATTGGCTAAGCAATACACTCTGGAAGGAATGAGCATGTGACATCTCTGGCTGAGAATTTTAAAGGCTTCTCCCTAAACTACAAACCCTAGAATTCAGGATTTAAAGTGGGATACACACACTATAACTACTCTTGAAAGGGTAATGTGAAAATGTACGTAATTCAACACACTGGTGACATTTAGACCCTATACAGCTTGGGACCCTGAATCTTATAGGAGCATATCTTCTCCCCCTTCCCCAATATACTGCTTTAGATTTCAGGTGTGCAGGAGGGAAGCCTGCACCATTGGGGTCAATATGAAGGGGACAGGTCCCTCCTCCTGTGGTACTCTGATTGTGAGGAATGCACCCCCCGCAGACTGTTATCAACAATGGTTCCTTTCCAAAGGCAAGCTAAAATATTGCTTTTTTCAAATTACAAATGTAGATAAACATGCTTTTAAATATCTGGACCTTTTAAAGTGGTTTTAACGATGGCTATGTTTAATATGGTTTCATCTTGCCTTAATTACTTATGATTTTAAACTGGAAGTATTATAACTTTTTCATATTTTTTAAAAAATAATTTTTATTGGTTTATGGTGCATACAGAAAACAAAACCGACACCAAAGGGGGGGAAACAACCCCCCCCCCAAAAAAAACGAAGAAGAAAAAAAAAAGATATACAAAAGAGTATGCAAGTTTACAGAATGGTATACAGTCAGCGCTCATTAAACATATGAAAAATCAACTTTGACTGTACAGCTATTATACCTTAACATTTATTGTCCCTCTAACCCCACACCCGTGAACCCAACCCCCATGACCTCCGACACCACTCCGTATGGATCACATAACTAACCCACAACTACCCACATGTCTTCTTTCACTGAATCCCCTTTATAGAGATCTTCAAATCTACTTTTGTCTTCTTTTCGAGATATCCAATTGCCAACCTCAATTTTTAAACAAATTCTTCATTATTTCCTCCTCTGCTGCTATTTGTCACTTTGGCCATTTGGATATAAACTACTAATTTATCTCTCCAATCCTTAATAGTTAACTCTTTTCCCCCTTCCATGTTTTAGCTATTGTTAGTCTCACAGCGCCAAAACAATACTGACAAATTTCTTCATCTCCTGCGCTAATACGCCTTCTAAATATTCCTAATAAGAACATTTCTGGGTTTTTCTTTTTTTCTTTCTTTTTTTTTTGCTAATCATTTTGTTTGTTTCTTTCGCCACTTTTTTTCCAGAATTCTTTAACTATGTAGCAAGTCCACCATACGTGGAAAAAAGATCCCTTCACCTTCTTGCATCTCCAGCAAGCCCCTCGTCCTGTTTTCTCTATTTTAGCTAGTAACTCTGGAGTTATGTAGGTTCTGTAAAACATTTTAAACATATTTTCTCTAATTGAGCTGGCCACTGAAAATCTAACCCCCTCTTTCCAAAGATGTTCCCACTCTTCCAAATCATATTGTTCATTACCCTGAGATCCAATGGTAAAGGGTGAGGCAGAAGCATTATTAAGTAAATAGTGCCTTGAGTCCCCTCGGAGAGAAATGTAAGGTACATGCAGTCCCTGTGTTACAAGCATCCAACTAAGAAATGACTCACAGTTAAGAACGGGGGTAAGACAACAGGAAGTAAGAGAAATCTACCCCTAAGAAGGGAAATTCACTCCTGAAAGAGTTATTATGTGGGAAAGGTGTCTCCACAGAAGGTTTCTGCAACAAGCTACATTTTTCAAAATACCATTATCACAGGGACAGAAAGTGAGGTGAAATCTTCTGAACAGGGGCACAGAAAGGAAAACAAGGACCATAGGAGTGTTAACCCCTGTGCTATCCAATGCATGCATATATACATATACATATATATGTATGTGTTTGACTGGAGTTACACTTTAAAAATGCACCATATATACTCAAGTATAAGCCAACCCACATATAAGCTGAGGCACCTAATTTTACCACAAAAAACTGGGAAAAAGTATCGACTCGAGTATAAGCCGAGAATGGAAAATGCAGCAGCTACTGCTAAATTTCTAAACAAAAATAGATACTGATAAAGTTACATTAATTTAGGCAATTAGTAGGTTAAATATTTTACATAAAACTATACTTTTACATAAAACTATTTACATAAAACTATAATTTAAGATAAGACTGTCCAACTCTGATTAAACCATTATTCTAACCTTCATCAATGTAAATGTACTTACGTATCCTTCCAATAATAATAGAATAAAAAATAAATGTAATAAAAATAATAGAGTAAAATAATAAATGTAATAATAACAATAGAGTAAAATAATAAATGCAGATGATCAAGACGGTTTTAAATAGTGTATTTTAATATTGCAACAAATGTTTTTAATGTTTATGTATGCATATAATTAATTAATGTCCCGGCATTGAATGTTTGCTGTATATTTATTTATTTTATTTATTTACTTTATTTGTATACCGCACTCTCTCAGCCCATAGGCAACTCAGTGCAGTTTACAACCAAACCACAGTATATATGCTGTGCTCCACCCTGAATCCCCTTCAGGGTGAGAAGGGCGGGATATAAATGTTTTAAATAAATAAATAAATAAATAAAATAATATATTTATTTATTTATTTATTTATTTATTTATT